AAGGCACAATGACCCCAATAAAATAACTGGCGGGAGGGAGAGACTCACATCTGATTCTACTTATCATGTTTGCACAAAAGAACAAAAGGAATAAAAAAAATAGAACTACATTTTTTTTGTTTTTGTGTTTGAGCCAACCCGGCTTGCTCGAGGCTTACTCATGACTCTGCACTCAGGAACTACTCCTGGTGGTGCTTGGGGGACCCTACAGGATCCTGGGGATGGAACCCGAGCCAGCCACATGTAAGGTAAGCACCCACTGTCCTATCGCTCCAGCTCCTAAAATTCTTCATTTTTTTTCTTTTTGGATCACACCTGGCGATGCACAGGGGTTACTCCTGGCTCTGCACTCAGGAATTATTCCTGATGGTGCTCAGGGGATCATATGGGATGCTGGGAATTGAACCCAGGTTGGCTGCGTGCAAGGCAAACGCCCTATCCGCTGTGCTATCACTCCAGCCCAGCTCCTAAAATTCTGTTTGAATTGTCATCGCTAGCTGTTGAACTAGGACTGGAGTGATAGCACAGCGGTAGGGCATTTGCCTTGCATGCGGCCAGCCCAACCGACCTGGGTTCTATTCCTCTGGCCCTCTCGGAGAGCCCGGCAAACTACCGAGAGTATCTCGCCCGCATAGCAACGCCTGGCAAGCTACCTATGGTGTATTCAATATGCCAAATACAGTAACAACACAGTAACAACAAGTCTCACAATGGAGACATTACTGGGAACACTCAAGCAAATCAATGAACAACGGAAGGACAGTGCTACAGTGCTACAACTGTTGAACCCATCCATATCTCCCTTAGCCATGCCTCTGCCTGAAAGGGGTACTCAAAGAACGACAGGAAGAGGGTGGGACAGACGTCACCTCAGAGTTGAGTCCTTTTCCTGACACGGGTCCTCTATCCCCAACCCCACTCACTTCACCAGCATCCGTGGCTCAGAAATCTGTTGGGGGATGCTAGTGATCTCTTATAGAAGGGTTTAATGGGCCTTGGGTGAAATACAACAATCTTCACACACTTTCCTCTAAGGAAAAATTGTTGGATCATTTCTAGTGGTTTAGTCAAAACAAACAATACAAAATAAATTATTTCAGTCTGCTTTGGGGAAGAGGTTGGGATTCAGGATGGAAACCTCTGAAATATGGTGATGGGAAAGTATAATGGTGGTGGGATTGGTGTTTGAATATTAAACATAATCAAATATTGTGAACTACTTTATAAAAATAACTACTTTATAAAAATTTTTAAATAAAATTTAAAAAAATAAAATAAGATAAAAAAATTAATTAATGGGGGTATGGTGCCGCCAGCAGGTCAATCTGTACCTGTGAGGCGAGTGCATCAGCAGCCTGATGACACCTTCAGACTTCCAGATATCCCAAAATTGCTGCTGTGCCTTTGGCCAGACCCCAAAAACTTGGGGCAAAGTTTAACAAGAAAGTAAATGGCCAAAAGTTAGGTATGTGGGAGACACACCCACAAACCACCTCCAGCTCAGCTATATAATTGGAGGCATGGCCTCTCTGGTTCCTGATAGAACTGCTTAACAGCCATGATCCCAGAGACTCAGAAACAAATCTCGAAACCCAACAGCTTTTGGCAGAAATGCATCCAGTCCCTGCAGTAGGTTACAGGTGCTCGGCCAACCCAGGTGGGAATAGGTTTCGTGCCTTGGCCTGTTCCCCCTGGTGGCCCAGTGGCCACCATCTTCCAGAGACCACTGGACAGTCAGGTTTGGGCCCACAGTGACGAGACACGCGAAGCCTCACAGGATGGGTGTGGAGCCGGTCCTTTCCCTCCCACCTCAACGAAACCCCTAGTCACTGCCAACAAATAGCCAGTCTGGCTCCTGATCAAGCCGTTTAATGGCCATGATCCCAGAGACTCAGAAACAAATTGTGGAACCCAGCAGCTTTTGGCAGAAATACGTCCAGATCTCACAGTAGGTTACTGTCGCCAGGGCCACCCCAGCGGGGGAAAGGGTGCTGTCCCTCCACCTGTTCCCCCCTGGCGGCCACTGGGCCGCCATCCTCCAGAGGCCACTGGATAGTCAGGTTTGGGCCCGCAGTGACAAGACACACGGGGCCTCATGGGATGGGGGTGGAGTTGGCCCTTTCCTCCCCGTTCCAATGAGACCCCAAGTCGCCACCCAAGAACGGCCTTTCTGGCTCCTGATCAAGCTGCTTAATGGCCATGATCCAAGAGACTCAGGAACAAATATTGGAACCCAGCAGGTTTTGGCAGAAATCCCTCCAGATTTAATTGTTAAAATTTTGAAATTTCATTTACATACAAGTGGTACTACATGGAAAATATCATGTTAAGCGAAATGAGTCAGAAAGAGAGGGATAGACAGAGAAAGATTGCATTCATCTGGGAAACATAAAGTAACAAAATAGGAGACTAACACCCAAGAATGGCCGAGATTAGTACCAGGAATTTTACTCCATGGCTTGGAGGCCAGCCGCACATGCTAGGGGAAAAGGGAGCTCAGATAGAGAAGGGAGCACCAAATAAAAGGTGTTGGGAGGATCCTCCCAGAATGGGAGAAGCATGCTGAAAGTAGACTATAGACCAAACATGATTGTCACCCATTGCCTCTTTTGCAAACCACAACACCCAATAAGAGAGAGAGAACAAAAGGGAATGCCCTGCCACAGAGGTGGGGTGGGATGGGGGGGATGGGGGGTAGGAGGGATACTGGGATCTGTGGTGGTGGGAAATGGGCACTGGTGGAGGGATGGGTATTTGATCATTGTATAACTGAAACCCAAGCACAAAAATTTGTAAGTCTACAACTTTACCTCATGTTACATCAGAGTAGCTGTCTTGAGAAATACCCAGGGTCAACTCAACCTTCTCAAACCATTTCCTGCAGCTGTGGTCTCCCGAGAGATTGACTAGGACTCCCAGAAAACATGGAATCACAACTAGGGGGACATGGTGCAGGTAGCGCCCCCTGGTGTGGAGAAACAGCATTGCACCCGGGTTTGCTGAGCACATCCTCACCCGGGGCCCCATCCTGAACTAAATCTGCACCAGGAAGCACAGTGTGAAAAGTTTGTGTTTTCCATATGGAACGCAGACAGCCAACTAGGCCCAGAGAGGCCAAGAGACCCACTCGAGGTCACACAACCATCTCCTGACTCCTATACCAGGGTGCTCCCACGGGCCCTCATATAGCCCTTCATGGACCACCCAAGCCTCGGTTTATGGGAGGTCAAAACTGAACACAAAACTCCAACTCTAACACTGATTTGATTAAATCACATATTAAAATTAAGATACTGGCCAAGAGTCATTTCCAACCTCATCAATCCAGAAATAGTGATTTATTCCACAAATATTTATTAATCATATGCCAGGCACCGCACATATTGCAGGAAATGAGACATGGTGTGTCTGTACACTGACAATGAAATCACCCCTAAAGAAAAACTGACTGAACCGTCCTTGACAAGCCTGTTTCAAAGTAGGAACTTGCAAAATACCACATATTCACACTTCATTTGTTTCCATTTACCATAGTCACCGCTGGAGCTGATGGCGATATGCTTTTGACTGGAACGCTTTGGGAATCAAACATGCCTTCTCAGCGCAGGTCACAGAGGGGAAATGACTGGAATTAGTCAGGGATTTTTTGCTAAGCATCTCAACCAACAGATTTTTCCAGTTTCAGGTGGATTCAAATATCATCTCCGACTCCTACATTTCAATTAAAATGCAATCTCTTATTCCCCCCACCACTGGTGTACGAGCCTACTTAAAAACAGGACAGGCTTGGGGCCAGAACAACAGTACAGTGTGGCTGACCTTGGTTCAATCTCTGGCATCCATAAGGTCCCCAGAGCACTGCCAGGAGTCATTCCTGAGTGCAGCGCCAGGAGTAACCCCTGAGCACCACCAGGTGTAACCCAAAAACAAAGAAAACAACTACAACAAAAAAAAAACCAGGACAGGTTTTACAGAATCCTTCTGAGAATCATGGTATATTAAAAGTCCCATAGCTCTCAAGCACTGTAGGTTGGTCACTTGAGGAAGATCTTGCTATTGTTTCTTCATATGCTCTTCCAATCACCTAAGAGTACGTCTCTAGAAATGGAGCAAAGGTTTCCTAATAGATTATTTAAAAGTGCAGTTTCCAATGGGAAAGAAAGTGCTAGAATCCTGGCATGAGTTGTTCATGTTTGATGTGTGTGTATGGCACTAAAGACAGTTTCCAGTACAGGTTTGAAAACAAAACCAAAAAGCTGAATTGGGAGCTCCTGTCACACCTTTTTGAACAGTCTGTCGTGAAGAGAACTGCGTGTTGCAGGCCCAGGCAGCAGGTGCTCACCAGATGTCTCCAGGAGACTCCCCACCCCCACAATCACATCCGTCACTAGTGTTCACTAGGCACCAGAGCCAAGGGCAGAAACCTCGAAACACACATGGGAAGCAAGACACCAGTGAGCCAGCAATAGCCCTGAGCATAGCTGTAAATTAGGATTTCGAACTACAAACACTCAAGACACATCACAGGCAGAGGAGAGCGTATTGTATAAAGGCTAAGGACCAGGTTTTTGTTTCTGCTTTTGTTTTTTGTGCCTTTTTTTTCTTTTTGGGTCATACCTGGCGATGCACAGGGGTTACTCCTGGCGGTGCTCAGGAGACTATGGAATGCTGGGAATCGAACCTGAGTCGGCTGTGTGCAAGGCAAATGCCCTACCCTCTATTCCATCTCTCCAGCCCTGCTTTTGTTTTTTAAGGACCAAACATCTCCCCTTCTTCTGTAAAAGCCCCTTTGCTCCCTCTCTGCCAGGTCAGGGTGTTACTACCTGAGCTCGTGGCAAACGCATCCCTGAGCTGGTGACAACCATTCTGTGGATGCTCCCAACGCATCAGCATGCGGGAAGACGTTTGAAATCACACACGGGATTCTACAGAGAGGCCAGGAATGCAGGAATGCACAGGTGTCTGTGGGGCTCACAGGCCCGTCCACCTCCACCAGGGGCTCAGTGAAGACCCCCTGGGGTGAAAGGCGGTCTTCTATCTAAGGAGATTTCCCCCTGGCAGTCCAGCTCCCAAGCTGACTGGGCCACAGCCTCCTGCTCTGGAGAGGTGCCTGAGACACAGACCAGGGATCAGAAGGTCCCTCCTCCTCCTCCTCCTCCTCCTCCTCCTCCTCCTCCTCCTCCTCCTCCTCCTCCTCCTCCTCCTCCCCGGGGACTCCCTTGGGCTCTCCCGGGTTCACTGCATTGGAGATCACCTGGCTGCAGGCGGCGGCCATCTCCCGGTGGACGGCAGTGACCTGGCCACAGGGGGTCAGCTCTTGGCCGAGGTCCACCGCCTGCCCGGCCATGCCCGGGCAGAGGCGGCCGCAGCCCAGCAGCTGGGCAAACACCCGGCGGAAGTCGGCGTTGAAGGCGTAAATGATGGGGTTGAGCGAGGATTTGGCCCAGCCACACCAGACGAACACGTCGAAGGTGGTCTCACCCACACAGGGGAAGCCGGCGCCGCTACAGAAAGGGACCGTGCAGTTGAGGACGAAGAAGGGCAGCCAGCAGCACACGAAGACGCCCACGATCACCAACAGCATCTGCAGGGCCTTGGCCTCACTCTGCATGGATGCGCCCAGGCAGCGCGCTTGCACTGCGCGCTCCAGGGCAGCAATGCGGCGGGTCTGCGCGCGCGCTATGCGGAAGATGAGACAGTAGGTGACCAGCATGACGGCCACGGGGATGTAGAAGCTGATGAGCGATGAGGAGATGGCGTAGGCGCGGTTCAGTCTGGAGTCGCAGCTGCCCACCCCGGCTGTCCCGTTGGGAGCGGCCGGCCCACGCCAGGAGCCGGCCGGGTCACGGTGCCAGTGGAGCTGCACGGGGATGAAGGACACCAGGACCGCCAGGGCCCAGACCAGGCCCACTGTGACCCAGGCCACGCGCCGGCTCATCCTGCGCTGGTAGAGGAAGGGGCTGGAGATGGCGCAGTGGCGGTCCAAGCTGATGACGCACAGGTTCAGGATGGACGCGGTGCAGCACATGATGTCGAAGGCCATCCAGACGTCGTAGAAGGCCCCAAAGGGCCAGTAGCCGACCACCTCGGCCACCGCCTTCCAGGGCATGACCAGCAGCGCCACGAGGAGATCCGACACAGCCAAAGACGCGATGAAGACGTTGGCGATTTTGGCGCGCAGCTGGCGGCCACGCACGACGGCCGCGCACACCAGCGCGTTGCCCAGCAGAGTCCAGACGACGAGCAGGCTCAGGAGGCCGGCGGTGACCACCTGCGCGGGCCCTAGCGGCGCGGCGGCCCCCTGCACCCGCAGCTGCGGCTGCCCGGCTCGCGCGCGCCCCGCGGGCAGCATGTCGAGGCAGCCGGCGGCGCCAGGTCCCGCTTCAGCCCGGCCGCCCCATCGGACCCCCGACTCGTGAAAGCCCGGCCGAGCCCCGGAGGGCGCTCACCGTGCGCGCGGGGACCCCTCTCGTCTCCCGGGGCCCCTCCGGGTAGGGGGCCGCGGGACGTGCCTCCAAGGTCGGCGTGGGGAGCCCGGAGCTGGCGCGGCCCGCGGGGCTGTTCCTGGAGCTGCTGCTTGCAGGTGTGCGGGTGTGCGCGGCTGCGTGCGGCTGGGAGCCGAGGGGGCGGGGGCCGCGGGCCACTCGGAGCTGCCCGCACCCCCGCTGCGCCCGCGCCTCGCTATCCCCCGTGGTCCTCCGCTGAGCCCCGCGCCCCATGCCCCGCGATCCCACCTGTGCCCTGCGCCCCGCACCCGCGATCCCCGCCCGCGTGCTCTCCCTGGCTAGTTCCGCCCGGCGTCTGGACAAAGCGCCTGGAGAAGGCGCGAGGTGCCTGATCCAGCCTTGCTGCCTTGGTCCGGATTCCCTGTGTGGTGCAGCCGGGCAGGTGAGAGCTAGGGGGTGCAAAGGGGTGCTCTGACTTCCAGACCAGAAGGATCTTGTGTAGGGTAAAGAAAGCCAGGGCCCTTCCCATGGACCCTGATGCCCTAGCCCACTCTCCCAGTGCTGTGATCTTGAATGCCCTCCCATCCGAGTAGCTGGGCCTTGGTGTACCCATCAGGGAAATGGGCTCACTTTGCAAAGGCATGGAAAAGCCATGTGTCCTAGGCACCTCTCCTCCTCCTGACCACCCCCACCAGCACCCGGTGGTCACCTGAGTCTTGGGACCGACCGTCCTGTCCCCGCCCTCTTTCAGCTTGGAACTGGTTTTTCTTCTTCTTTTGTCCCTTGGGGAACTAACTTTGGACGAGGCTCCAGAAGGCCAGAACCTCAACCATTTTCATCTTTCCCTGCTTGAATGCGGCCGTCTGGACAAGGTGCAGTTTGGACAGCTCCAGCCAGGGAGCTAACCCAGGTGGAAGAGGTGACCAAAGACTAATCTGGAAAGAACTGGGTGACGCTCCCTCCCCACATACACATGCTGGAGTGGGGTGTGTCCTCAGAAACAACTCCTCCGTGGAAACAACTCTTTCTGTCCCGCCCCCCCCCCCCCAGCCAGTGTGTATCAGCAGGGGGCAAGGGGAAGAGACAGGTAGCAGGAAAGGGTCTGCGCTCCTCAGGCCCCTGCCACCGACTTCCAGATCCTGCCGAGCGTCTGCGTCCCACCCACCCATTTACTCTCGAGGGCAGTGGGGGAGGAGGCGGCGGCAACATGCACCCAAGCCCGGGTCTGGCAACGACGAACCCCCCATAGTGCTGCAGAGGGCCGGTTTCTGAGGAGAACCAAGTCATTGTTTGGGCCGAGCATCATTCAGCAGTTCCGGTCACACTGCTAGGCTGAGATACCAGAGGAGTCCCCGTGGATCCAGCCCTGGGGTGCCCTTTCTAGGAGGAGGATCCAGAACACAGTATTTAAAAGAAGCCCGTGGGGCTGGAGCGATAGCACAGCGGGTAGGGCATTTGCCTTGCACACGGCCAACCCGGGTTCGAGCCCCGGCCTTCCATATGGTCCCCTGAGCACTGCCAGGAGTAATTCCTGAGTGCAGAGCCAGGAGTGACCCCTGAGCATTGCTGGGTGTGACCCCAAAAGGGAAATAAATAAATAAATAAAAGAAGTCCGTGTTGGGGTCAGGGATTCAGGGGTTCAGGATTCCAGCACCACACAGGGTGCCCGAGCACCTCTAAGGGTCATCCCTGAGCACTGCCTGTGCCACCCACCCCCCGGAAAATAAAGCCCGTGTGAAGTGCTAGGGAGAAAACCAGATGCAACAGATAAATAGAGTGGCAGGCTGGGGGGACAAGCTCTTGCAAATGGAGGGGCCGGGGCAGGCAGGAGGTGAGTCAAAGGCTTGGAGCTCATGCTCTGCATGGAGGACCTCAGATTCAGTCCCCAGGTCACATGGCCCACCCCCAGCCTGGAACCACTCCTGAGCACCGCAGGGTGTGGCCCAAAGGAGAAAAAATAGGCGATAATTGGTCTGAGTGATAATGAGCCAGAGTGAGAATATGACGGGGAGGACATTGCCTTGTATGCCGCCAACCTGAATTCAAACCCCCCTTCCCCCCCACCCTAGGTGGTCCCCCCCCCCCAGCACTGCCAAGAGTGAATTCCTGAGTGAAATGCCAGGAGTAGCCCGAGCATCACTGGTGTGGTACAAAACAAAAAAGGGGGGGAGTGGTGACAAGTTGCTTAGTGATCTGAAAGATGGGAAGAGATCCCTCTGGAATACCCAAGGTCAACCTGTCTCGGAGGTGGGGGTGGCCGTGCAAAGGTCCTGGGGCAGAGCAGGGCAGCTAGTGCAGAAGAGCAAGTGATGGGGGATGGGGTGGAGGTGCGCCTGCAGGCAGGCCATACTGAGGACATTCAGATTCACTACCCAAGAGTCTCGGTCCCCTATGGGGGGGGGGGGGGAGGGACGGGGCACATCCCAGGAGCAAGGATCTCCAGGCCACCAGGAAGTACCAGGAGGCTTGGAGGAGGCAGGAGAACAGAGGGCTCAGGTTCCCACTTACCAGCCTTAGGAACTGAGACTTTCTGGGAAATGACGGAGAATGAAGCCAATTTGGCCAGAATCTCATTGATCTAAACAGGAAGTCAGATTCCCACTGTGCTTCCTGATGCTCAGCTTCCAAGGGCCCAGGAGCCCAAGGCGGGTCCCCTGCCTCTCCCTGGAGCTGGGTCTGCCAACAGCCGGGCTGTGCGCGCCACCTAGTGCTGAGGTCAGGAAGTGACAGGGCCAGCCGCTTCCTGCTCCGAGCAGAGAACAGCCCTGCACCTGCGATGGGGGTCAAGCAAGGCTCTGAAAGCCGCATCACAGCCAATGGCAGAACCCACAAACTCAAGACGAACTCCCGAGTCCTTGGGTCCAGAAGGACCTGGGGAGACAGCTCCGGTGGCTGGACGCAGGCCCCTGCCCCATGTGCGCCCTCGGCAACACCGCAGCCGGCTGTGGAGAGCCTAGAGCTGGCGCTGTCTGCAAGTGACTTGATGCATCTGGACATTTGTCGTTTCTGTCACCCCCTCAGCCACTGAGCACCCCACCTGCTTGGTGAGATGCTGCCAGAGACTCTGGCGCAGGATTCAAATACACAGGCAGGTCCCTCTGCGGGGACCCCCAGAGCAGGGAAGCTCACTGATTCTGAAAGTCACCTCCTAATGGGACAGAGCAACTCCTCCTCTCCCCCTCCCCCACCTCCATACACTCAAACTACCCACCGCCACCCCCACCCAGGGGCAGCAAACAACACTTTCTATTCAGGGGTCTTCACTTGAGGCCCACCTCCAGGGGAGAAGGCTCCCGCCGAGTCGCTGGTATACCCTCAGAGGTGAGAACTGAATGAGACCCCCTCAAGCCATCATGGGGTAGCGCAGGAAGGACAAGAACGGGACATTGGGCACACTCGGGTACCAAGCATGCTGGTCTAGTCCATGTTACAATAAACAAGAAGAGCAAACTCGTCTACGGACAAGTATCACCTGGCAGCCCCTAAAGTCCGCAGCTGGCACAGACACAGCCCTGGACACGGCCCACTCACAGCAGGCCGCAGGATTCTCTGGGCCACCACCTGGACTCCGCCGAGTGGAGCCCCATAGCATCCTCAGAGCACCAGCCAAAGGTGCCCCCAGAAATCCCAGACCTGTGGGAGGCGCCAACACTCGGAGCTGACAAGCTCCTTTGATGCCCTGAGGACCAGGGAGGACAGGGCAGGGCAGTCTCTGGCCACTGCCCGGAGCTCTTTCATCATGGAAAAACAGGCATGTCTGGGCCAGAGATAGCACAGGGTTAAATGCTTGCTTAGCACACGACTGACCTGAGTTTTTTGTTTGTTTGTTTGGGCTTTTTTGGTCACACCCAGCGATGCTCAGGGGTTACTCTTGGCTCTGCACTCAGGAATCACTCCTAACTGTGCTCAGGGGACCATATGGGATGCTGGGAATTGAACCCATATCGGCCACGTGCAAGGCAAATGCCCTCCCCACTGTACGATCACTCTGGCCCCACTGGTCCGGGTTTGATCCCTGGCGCCACCTGAGGTCCTCAAGTCCTGCCAGGAGTGATCCCTGAGCACAGAGCCAGGGGTCAGCCCTGAGCACTGCCAGGCGTGGCCCCAAAACCAAATTCAACAATAACAACCAGAGAGGCATGTCCAAATTCCTGTCTGGAGTGGTAGCCAATGGGCTGAGGCGTATGCCTTGCTGTGGCCAACCCCAGTTCAACCCTGCTACTACATGATCCCCTGAGCATTGATCAGGAGAGAATCTCCCAGCACATAGCACTGATGGCCCCAACACCACCACCCACAGAGAAAGCAAATTCACACAAATGAAAAAACATTCACATTAGTATTTAGAGCAAACAGACTGGTTTATTGTGGTTTTTAGAATAAGTGAGGAAAAACAGATGCAAAGGCCTCATTATTACTAGAGTCTTTAAAAATATTTATAACCTTTGATTATATAATCTGATCTCAAGTATAAAAGGAACTACTCTAAATACAGAAAACACTTTGCAAATATGATTGCTTTTTGTAGTCATTCACAAAATCAAAAAGTAATGAACACTTTCAACCAACAATAAGAGCGAAGATAATCATGGTCCACTCACTGGCTAGAAATGTAATCCGGTATTAGAGAAAGTTTTACAAAGAGCTTATAGCAACGTGGGGCAAAGGCTCACACCCAATTGTTAAGTGGGAAAATGAATTCAACTTGTCATGTCACACTGGCAAGTACCATAATATAAATTTAAAAGACCTACAATATGATTTGGAGACTTCTCCAAAAGCGAAGATTTGAGTATCTATAGAACTGAGCAATTCCACTTCTGGGCTTCTACCCCAAGGGCCCAGAAATTCTAATCAGAAAAGCCTTCTGCACACCTGTGCTCACTGCAGCCCAATTCTGAGGGCCCGAATCTTGAAACAGTCTAAGTGTCCAAGAAGAGATGTGCAGATAAAGCAACGATGGTGCATAGGCACAAAACATTGACTCATCTTTTTAAAAAGCCATGCAATTTCCCCCTACATGCGTGGAACTGGGGTCTGCTCTGCTGTGTGTCATCAGAAGGAGAGAGAGGGGTCCAGAACGATCCCTCTCGTGTGCAGGATATAAGGAGGCACAGTAGCGGAACAAGAAAAGGCCAAGAAAAGCATCAGAATCTAAGAACTGATGGAAGAACTGAGCTGACCAGGCAGTGGGGGGTGAGGAAGGGGTGTGTGCAGAGAAAGGTGGGCAGAAGTAGGGAAGACACGGAGACCATGGGTGGAGGTGGGGGTGGAGGGTTGGAATGTTGTATTTGGGAACCAATCATTGAAAATTTTGTAAAATTGCAAATCATGCTGTCCAGAAATAAAAAAAACAACTTCCCAGCCAGACACCAGAATGGCTACCAAGCATTCCTAAGTGGCTCGGGGCTGAGCAATGCTTTGCATGCAGGCGGCCAGAGATCCACCCGCTGAGCACCCAGCCAGGAGGAACCCCGAGCACGCCGCATATGGTCCCAAAACTCTTCTGAGAAATGACTGAGACTAAAAAAAATCATTTTTAATTAAAAATAAATGAAGATAACTGTCAGACACACCATGGCATTTTCTAGGTGATTTTTTTCCTCTCCTCCAGACTCTTCTGAAAGATCCAAATTTTCCATGCTTTGTTTGTGTATATTTGAAATAAAGCAAGCTGGAGAGGTAGCCCAGGGGGCGAGTGCAGGACTTCCGTTACCAGGACGAAAGACATCAGTGCAGAGCAAGAGAGAAACAGTGCACCTGAATCTCCCCTCCAGCGGGAAAAAACAACTCTGTTCCCCAAAGCAAAGCAGACACCCAGAAACGCTCAGGGAAGACTAAGGGTGATCACATCAGCTCTGGGAAGACGTGCAGGGCCGGAAGGTGGCAACGGGCAGATGGCCCTGGGCGTGGGCCTAGGTCCCCCTGAGAACAGTAAACCATTTCTAAGAACGGCAGAGAGGACTCGGGGATTGGCCAGCCCAGAGGGAGGGTGGGGGTGGGGGGCTTCTCTGCAGCTGTGGGTTCCTGTAGGACGTTGGAGCATGGACATCTCAGAGAATGACGCGGCCCGGAGGGACCTGCCAGCTCCGTCTCCTTCAGACCTATTTGCACTCAGCCCGTGGGGAAACCATCCTCGCCAACAAAAGGCAGTCCTGCTCACTGAGGCTATATTTTCCCAAGATGCCCGCTCCCAGGTGGGCAAGCCCAGCTGCCCACCCGTCTCGGCAGTGCGCCCAGACTATATCTTACAGTAGACCTCAAAGAGCGAGGCGGCAGCGTGCATGCGGTAGAAGATGGAGAATGGCATGGCCAGGTTCACCACGATGATCCAGGGCTCGAAGCCGAAGACCACCTCCTCCAGCCCGTTGTCATACTCGGGGCGGCAGCCGAACGCCGGGGGGATCCACAGCTGCAAGAGAAGAGCAGACGGCCTCAGCAGCCACAGCCGGCCAGGACACTGGCAGGCAGCGTCAGCGAGTCTAACCTCCAGGCCCGGGTCGCGCCCCCCCCCCACGAGCACTTTGCGAGCCCCCCGACCTCAGACACCCCACATTGCACGCCCGTTGCAGTGCCTCCACTTGGCCACTTGCTTCCCACGCTGGCTTGAACGGGCACTTTCCATCAGCTCATCCTGGTAAAGCACATGCCACGGCTCACTAGTGGCTATTTGCCACTGCCTGAAGCCCCCAACAGCCTTCTGGAGGGACCCAATGAGCAACACCCTTCCCCAAGTTCCAGTCCCCCCCACACCCTTTCCCCAGCCCCTCAATGCTTCAAAAGCCCCCAGTGAGCCTTTCTCTCATGCCTCTGCTCCTCTCTCTGGCACTCTATGCTTGCCTGCTTCAAGACCCTGCCTTGCTCCAAGTCATGAAACATCATCCCTTCCAGGCAGTCCTCTGGGATCTAACCTATCGAGGCAGACACTCCCTCTTGTTCAGCCAGTCCCCAGTGCTTGCACACAGGGTGGGTCCCCTACGCATCAGCAGCCTCGGGGGCCTTCTTTCCAGCTTTTCTGGGACTTAGACACGCAGCTCTGCTCCTGTCCACGTCCGCCAGACACAAGGAGACAGAAGATGCTTTGCAGCCCAAGGTGGGCTTGTCGCACACCGTCGTAACCACACAGACCTCTGAGTCCCTTCGAGTTCCTTCCTGCCTCAGTTTCCCCATCTGTGAGTCAGGACTGCTAACTGTCCCCAGGCTCCAGGAGAGCTCTGTGACTCACGACCTGCCACTTGTGCTGGGACCTGTGCAGTCATGGCCCCCTCTGTCTCTGTGGTTCCTCTGCCACCCCCTCTTCCCCTGGAATTGTGGGGCTCCTGGGAGCTATCCTGCATCCCACACTCCCGCCACCTTCTCATATCCAGGCTCTGCAAGCGAGGGGTGCTGGCACCAGAGGTCCCATCTCCCTCCCTAGGTCCCTTCCTGGGGACCCTCCCCCTCGAGCTGGGCTGAACCCAAGGACTCACTTCTGACAAGATGGACAAGGCATGGGGTGCCACGTCCGAGCTGAGCTCACAGGATTTGAGACCGGCTGAGGAAACGCTACTGGCTGGGGATCCGAGAGGAGCTGTGAGGGCCAGGGTAGGAACCGATAAGGCTTAACTGATGGTTTATAATTGGCAAGGCATAACTGACCACATGTAACTGGCAGGTGTACCTGGTAGACAGGTGTGATTAACAGGTGTACCTGGCAGACAGGTATAATTGACAGGTGTACCTGGCAGACAGGTGTGAGTGGCAGGTGTAACTCCCAAAGCGCAACTGACAAGTCCTGATCGACTACATGTCATTGCCAAGACAGAACTGGCAGGTGCGCTTGACGGACAGTCACACATTGTGTGATCGACAGGCGTACTTAATAGCCACAACTGACAATGTGCGACTGACGATCCATAGTTGACTGGTGTGAAACCCTCAGTTTGTGGCCCCAGCGAGTGACTCTTGCCCACAGCCACCAGCGAAGTCCTGAAAACGGCCTGTCTCACCCCAACAGGAGGTGGGGCATTAGCCTGGAGCAGAGACACCCACCACACTGGGACAGGATCCCGGGGCGAGGGTAAGAGCACTTGATTGCCGTCTCTTGCATGCTGCTAGAAGGCTCCAAGGGCAAGTTGCTTCTTCGTTTTCAACCACCACTAAAGACAAGCACCAGCTCTCCTCACTTTCCGGGCCGAAGGGAGGGGGGCCTCTACCTGGTTCTCTGTGTCCGAGTCCTGTCAGCCAGCCTGACATCTGTGGCGGGAAGGCTGTACGCCCTCCCTCCCCTCCATCAGCGGCTGCTCCCACCTGGCTGGCTGTGCACCCATGCCTCCCTGTCCCCAACACACACGCACACACGCACGTGCACACATACGCACACGCACATGTGCACACCTGTACACACACACACACACACGCACGCACAGAATGGTCGTCGGGAAGGGCTGCCTGGTGTGAGGTGTGTGGTCCAGGATCCCCGCCTGAGAATCAAACACCTCGAGGCCAAAGACGGATGTGGTAGCGCCTTCCCCGGTTTGCAGTTCAAAGTCCTCGAAACGCGAATGGAGCTTCGGCTCGCGCTGGCCTTGTCCAGATCCTTCCCCGGGCATCCCTCTCAGAGCCCGTCCCTCACTGTATCTGAGGCTCTCTGACCTCCCTCACTACACATTTCCTATTTTATTCTTAGGTTTTAGCTGTGGGGGTCTGAGCCAGGGCAGCACTTAGGGCCTACTCCCTAACAGTGCTCACCGGGACTGCCAAGGGTCAACTCCAGGGCCCTGGCCCCTGCCCAGCCCTCTGAGCGCCCCCTGGACCTCTCCTTCTGGGTCTGCATTGCCAGGTACCAAACCCTGACCTCACCAACAAAGGCCACCTGAGCCACATCCCAGCCTCAGTACAGACAGAGCCCCGGGGGTTTGAGAGCAGAAGCTTGTGCCTAAGCATCCGCTTCCGTCTTATTGCCTTAATCTCTGGGCCCACTGGCTGCTCTCACCCTGATTGGCAAAGGGCCACGACTACTGATTCCTTGGAAACTGTGCTCAGAAGGCGAGGGGCCCCTCCGCTGACTCAGCTTTAGAGATGGAGAGTCAATCCAGGGGGCCCAGTTCACTGTGATGCTCAAGGCCTGCAGTATACCCCAGCAATCCTCAAGGGACCATGTGGCCCAAGGGATCTCTGGCATCAGGCGACACTGAGGATGCCCACTAACCACACACTGACCCAGGCACTGATGGAAGGGGCCCAAGTGACAGGACAGCGGGCAGGGCATTGACCTTGCACACATCTGACTTAGGTTTGATCCCCAGCATCTCGTCTGGTCCTCGGAGGATCCAGAAGGAAGCCCTGAGCACCGCCAGGTGTGGCCCGAATTATTTATTAATAAAATAGCACCCAGAAGGAGGGGAGGTTGCAGGTTACCGAAATGTTGCCAAGGAACAGGAAGGCTGCAATGTTCCGCAGGAGCCTCCTCTTGGCGTCGCCATCCAGGAAACGGGGGCAGCGGGCCAGGCAGGGAGCGCGGGGCCAGTGCCTCTCCTCGGGCCCCTTGCCATCACCACCACCTTCTCCCAGGGGCGGACTCCTGTTGATGGCCGAGGCCACCTCGAGGCTGGGGAACCCAGAGGAGCCGGCGGCCGGGGTCTTGGGGCCACACACGGTGACCACCCGCAGCGTGCGGATGGCCTCGGACAGCCTGGTCGGCTCGCGGTAGGCGGACTCGATGATGAACACATTCTGGATGTACTTCTCGGCGATCACCAGGATGGAGTAGGGCAGGTTGTACCAAGTGTGTGGAGGGCAGGCCTCAGCGCAGAGCATGGCCAGGATGGAGCCCCAGGACAGAAGCCAGGACCCCGAGGCAGTGCCCACCAGCAAGTCAGCGTCCAGCTTGCGGGCAGGGTTCCTGGACTCATCCAGCGCCGCTTCCTCCACCTGGTAGATGCGAAGGCCCAGCAGGCCGGCGGCGCCCATGAGCACGAGCAGGGCGATGGCGTAGAGGTAGAACATGACAAGTGCCGCCTCGCTCCTGCTCTGCGAGCGGCCTATGTGGACGAGGTAGAGCACCACCACGCCGATGGTGGCGGCCAGCGCACCCAGGCCCAGCAGTGAACCCACTGCCACCCCGCGGAGCCTGAAGCGGAGCTTCCCGTGGCGGGAGGCGTCCCCTTGGCGCCCGATGTTCTTCCACAGCACGTAGAGCATGGTGGACGCCAGGATCTGGTACTCGATGTTGAAGGGGTAGAGGTAGTAGATGCCGTGGGACACGGCTGAGCACAGGGCTGGGGGGCTGCAGTTGCAGGGAGGCGTGTGGTCGTCGAGGACTGGCGGTGCAAGAGGGCAGAAGCAGGGGCGTTAGCTTGGCTCGTCAGAAGCGGGAAAGACCCCAGGTGGGTTCCTGCGAAAGCTCCGCTCCCTCCCCGACTAGTGTGTGTGACGTCACTCCTGAGTGCACAGCCCAGAAACGGATCAGCCACAGGAATCGCATTTGGCCCAGACCCGGAATCTTGCACCGCCATTGTCAACAGTATCGTGGACACTGAGTCATAACAGCTCACGAGAAATTGTTGAATAAGGGGACGGGGTGATAGGACAGAGAGGAGGGTGCTCGCCTTGCACATGGCCAACCCGGGTTCTATCTCCTCCATCCCATAGGGTCCTCCAGGCACCGCCAGGAAGGATTCCTGAGTGCAGAGCCAGGAGTGAGCCCTGAGCACCTCTGAGTGTGACCTCCCCCAGAAATAATTGAATAAAAGAAGATGACCAAGGAAGAGTGAGCCATTTTTACAAATTTTAGATCTGTAGATGATTGGCAGATAAATCACAGAGGGATGGCCACTAGGTAACTGGAGCCTGGATAGACAGATGGAGAAGTAAAGGTGGGAGAGACAGATGGAGACAGGGAAGGACAGCCAGACACACAGAGGGAAAGAACTGGATAACAAACATACATGAGATGTGAACAATGGTGATCCTTTCTGGCGGAAGAAAATGCAGGTGACAAGGGTCGGAGCCGAGTGCGTCGCGGCTGACCTGAGTTCACCTTCCAGCAGCACATTTGTTTCCCGAACCCCACCAGTAGTGATCCCTGAGCACAGAGCCAGGAGGAAGCCCTGAGCACCGCTGGGTCTGACCCAAAAACCGACACCAAAAACCGCACATGGATTTGTTAACTAAAAAGCAAAACAAAACTCTGCCACGTCTTTGCTCACCCAGCTTCACTGAGGCAGAAGTGACAGGGAGCAGCGTGCCAGGTTAAGGCGGGAGCATGCCTGTCCCCCCCCCCCCCCCACACACACACACAAACGCACACACACACACACACAAGCACACCGGATTCTGCTTAAATCTAGAAGCAGATTTGGACAGAGTCCAAAAACAAACGCGTAATCAAAGCAGCAGGTAAAACTGTGTGTGAGAGTGTATGTAGGTTGTGAGAGAGAGTGTGAGCGACAGACAGAAACACAGAGAGTGAGACAGACACGGAAACAGATCAAGAGAAGCACCTTTATCTTTATAAACATGTGGCCTCGGGTGCTGGGGGGGGGTTGGTCTTTGAATATTATCGGCAAGGAACTATTGTGAGCTAATTGATGAAAATGAAATATATAAAATTGAAAAAAAATAAACCTGTGACCTTGCAGAAATTGTTTCATGAGGAACTAGAGCAAGAGAGAGCGTCTGCCTTGCACAATCTGACCTGGGTTTGATCCGACCTGGGTTTGATCACCAGCATCCTGTTTGGCAGTGCCAGGAGTAATTCCTCAGTGCAGAGCCAGAAGGAAGCCCCGAGCAATACTTGGTGTGGCCCAAAGACCAAAATAGAAAAAAAGAAATCGTCTAGTGAATGTCACAGCCTCCACACAATCAAATGACCAATAAAGAGGATAACTAATCTGAGTTTTAAAGATACAGGGAAATGGTCCTGTTACTAGAACGATGGGAAAAATAAGAACCAACTTATTTTTGTCCTCAGCCCTTTGCACACTCCAACGCTCTGGGTGGGGCGACTGGTACATTTAGGTCCTCCCAAAAATAAGAACCAAAATACTGAATAAACAGTATTTTTCAGTGCATAGCACACCCATACTCAGTCGGGACACCAATGGGGAGGGTTGTAGTCACTGTTTGTTTTTCTAACAGAATGGAATTGTAAACGAACAGAATAGGAGAAAATGGAATGAAACCAGACACAATCTGAGTTTTAAAGATATGGGGAAATGGTCCTGTTACTAGAACAATGGGAAAAATAAGAACCAACTTATTTTTGTCCTCAGACACTTAAATCTGAGTGTCTCTGCTCTGGTGAGAGTCTCACTACACAGTCTGTGTCTACACAGACCCAAACATGTATGCCCCAGCACCACAACTGGAAACCTGCACTGCCTGCTGGGAGGCCAGGGGGGATAAAAACAAGACTATATCAGACTGAACAAACAGCACGCTCGGGAAATGCCGGCACTTCCGGGGACGCCAGCGTGGGGGGTTCCTCTGCAAAGTCCTTATTTCTGAGTCGCAGACCACAGTCGTCAAATCAGATATAAGGGCTCATGGTCGCTGAAATGCCCCTCCTTTCTGCAGAACGCAGCGGCGTCCTCAGTGGGGGCAGGTGCCCCCGTCACTCGTCACTCCATCCAGCCACGGAAAGGGGCCGAGATCAGAGTTGAGACTGCGGGGCGGGAGTGACCCTTCGCGTAAATGGGTCAAATCCCACCATGTCACAGACCTCTCTGTCCTAGGCCGGACTCTGGCTCACCCACAGGCACGCTGTGGCCACTCGGCCCGTGTCTTCATTTCTCCACCGCACCCTGGTTTCATGCTTGGCATGAAACCAACCCAGCAAGACCTGAATGCACCCCTTACCCCACCCAGAGCGTCAGGGCATGCAAAGGGCTGAGGACAAGCTGTTCTTACTGTCGCTGTTTCTGTTCTTGATGCCAAGGAGGAGATGAAGGTGCCCAAAGTAAGAAGGACCTCCCAATGGGGATAGAGAAATATAGGGGGTGGTTTGTCCCCCCCCACACTCCTTGTCATCCCCAGCCCGCAGGTGAGGGGGAGCCTGCCCTGGCATCTGCCACAGAGGCATCAGCCGTCGTGGCTGGGACTCAGGACTTCTCATGTACAAATGACAGCAGGGAGGCTCCCCGAGGTCTAGCAGTTTCCAGAAGCCACACAGCTTGTGAGTGACGGGAAGCAACTCCACGCCTGAGACGCCAGCAGCCTGTGCCTGAGTGTCCCTCATCCTCACACTCCTCTCAAGTGCTCTACCTCAGAAGGGGCAGCACGGAAGGGAGCAAGCGGGGCTTCCCGGGTGCCCGGGCCAAAGCCAGGAGGGAGGAGGAGGGGCCTGCACTGTGCGCAAGTGGACAGAGGGAAAGGCTCAGCTGGAGACAAATGAGGACAGCCCGCCCCAGACGCCAGGATTCGGCTTCAGTCTTGGCTGACAGGGGCCAGTAACGGAAGAGTGACTGGAAAGACAGACAGACCTGCCTTCCCACCACAGAGGGGCACCCGCTGTGGCCCTGGGGGCCGGGGACCTTCCTCCCACCTGACTGATAAAGTCGCGCTTTGCCCAGGTGCTGAGGCACCTGAGCGTGGCCCAAACAGCAGAGGGTGGGGTGGGCGTTCTCTCCACACGTGCTGTCTCTGGGGGTTCTAGAATGTTCTGGCAGGCCCCGCACTCACCGATGGTGACATTGCCGAAGCCCAGCGTGAGGAGCCGCTCCTTGTGTTCGTTGAGCTGGTGCTTGGATTCGTTCAGGACCCCGTTGGCCCACAGCAGCAGGTTGGTGAACACCGAGTGGATCACCCCAAACCTGGAAACACACCCGGGGAAGAAAGGTCCTGGCACAGCTCCGAGGCACACACGTTACACGCATGTTCACACATGCACAGGCCTCCCTCTCAGCGGAGGGATGCTGGTTCCAACTGGCTCTGGGTGGGTCTCTGCCTGCCTGGGAAGGGCCCAGCGCCAGGGATCTTTGGAAACCACTGTCTTGGTGCTCAGCCTGTCTCCTGAAACTGACACTCAACTCATTGTCTGCAGGACAAAAAGAACCTGAGTCTTGGAAGCAGAAAGAAAGGAACAGAAATTCCCCGCAAATAAGGGACCAAGTGTGCGAAAGCTAACCCCAGCGCCATTCTTCCAGAGGAAGGGCCACAAGGAGGAAGGTGAAAGAGGACTTAGGGCTGGGGAGAGACGGGCCAGTCCTGAGTGCTAGGGACAGGGCCCGGTGACCACCATCCACCCTCTGCTTACTTCTGAAGATCCCGAAGCCAGCCAGAGATCTGCTATCCCAGCCTCCTTTGCAACTAGGCATGACTGTTCTGGTCCGTGGATTGGAGTGAAGTCTAATGGACACTACTGCAAAGCTTGAAAAGAATGAAAAGTGCCTACTCACTGTCCCTCTCCCACCCCTCCACCCCACCTGCCTTTTCCTTTCCAGCCTGGGAGACAGAAATAGAGTCCGGAGTTGTGGCAGCAACTTTGTGACCACGAGGCAGCCCTGAAACCCCAGGCAGCTTGGCCTGGCAGTGTGCCAACAGAGAAAGAGCCTGCTCTGCGGGGATGTTCTCAAACTGCAGGCATCTCCAGCATGACTGGCGATTCGCCCAGAGTCACACAGGAGCAAAATTCAGGGACCATGAGGCACTGAGCAAGCAGCAGGGCTAATGGGGTCTGAGACCAGAGTCCCACCCTGGCTGCCGTGACAGGCCGCCTCCTGAGAAGGCCAACAGGATGGAGCACAAGGTGGACGCGTGAACCAAGGCGAGGACACTGCTGAGACAAAGTTGTCATTCCACTGTCCAGTCTGGCACTCCAGAGCGCCCTGCCCCTCCTCCCTAGAGCACCAGGCAGGTCCGTGACCGAGCCCTCCTCTGTGCAGGACAGCACCCAGAGGAAGCAGCACAGCTCCCTCTAAGCAAGAGCAGGCACCCCCCCCCCTGCCAGCCCTTCCCCCAGCATCTGAGTCAGCTGTTTGCCCATCTGCGTGCCAGGGGTTCACCCAGACGGGGGGGCGGGGGCGGCATTGTACGGGCCTTTGACAAACAGCAGACAATGCAGTTGGCTCCAGCCAGCCAGCTCCCGTGCGGGCGGCTGCCCTTTCTTCTCCTCCTGCCAGGTCCGGCTGGCCTGGTGTGAGCCCAGGGGAGCCCCAGAGCTGGCGCCCGCGCCAACCACAGCTGTCTGCAGGTGGCTCTGGTCCCTGGGACTCCCCAGACAGAGGGAGCGAGTCACTGCCTCAGGGCGGAACCTCAGCCCACAAGAAAGATGGGCGTGACCTCTCGCCGATGCTGGTGGTGTTTCCATTGCCTGAAACCACACCCTGGGGAGAGGAGAGGCTGGAGGGATGCGCCTGTGGGTGCCAGGGCACAGTTTGGTGCAGGAGGGGTTCAGGGGGCAGCAATGTCCTCGGGCCTGGCAGGGAATGACAGTGGGGATATATATGTGTGTGTGTGGGGGGGAGTGACTTCACAGTAACAAGTGGAGAGGCAGGATCAGCTTGAATCAGCCCTTCGCTGCCAAGGACACTGGGGGCTGTGTCTCTCCTGGGGACCCCTGGCTGGGCACCATCACCGCAGCCATCTCGGAGACAGACTTTGTGCACAGCACAGCGGTCGGCGGTGACTGGTGCTGGCGGGAGCTGAGCTGCCTCACAGACCAGGGTGGAAAAGGCTATTTCCATGGCAACAGCTCACCGGAGTCATTCAGCCCAGGGAGGCTCTGGCAGCTCTGGGCCTCCCAAAGAGATATACTGGGCTCTTACTTTGTCCTGACAGTAGCTGCTTTAAAGGGACACTGGGGCTTGCTCTGCCCCCTACATCTGATGAGGGGACTTTCGATAGAGAAACACCATCCCCCGATCTGCGGGCCTTGCGTGAGGCGATGGCTGTCTCTGGGCTCCAGAGTTTCACCCGGGTTCTTCACGACAACCCAGAGACAGGCAGACCCAAGGTCACTGAGGGCTTGACGCCTGGCACAAACTTACAGCAATGGCTTTGTGCGGTCCGCTGAATGTCCAGCATGAGCCAGCATGTCCACTTCACAGATAAGAAAACCGAGGAGCGGGCAGGAGCTGCATCTGTGACTGCAGCGTCCAAGGGCATACAGCTCACCCAGGTACTGGGGGGCAGCCGGGAGGAAGCCCAGGACAGAGGAGGCCTCTCCTGGCCCCCCGGGGGAGGAGCAGAGAGTGGGTCTCAAGTGTGTAGCCCACATGGCTGATCTGCGTTCGATTCTAAGTGACACATGTGGCGTGTGACACATGAGCCCAGCCAGGATTGACCCCTGAGCACAGAGCCAGGAGTCAGCCCTGAGGACTACAAGGAGTGACCCCCAAGCACAGAGCCAGGAGTCAGCACCGAGCTCCACCAGGTGTGGCACCCCCCACCCATATTCAAATGCATGACCCAAGGTTTGTTGGCATCTAAACACACAAGCTGCATCGCACACAGCAACTCCCCGTGACTCCTTTACCTCTCCAGGGTTTTGAAAGACTGGATGATGTCCTTGGCGTGGCCCCAGAGGAAGTAGACCTAGAAGAAAGAAAGGGGGGAGAAGGGGAGACGCATCAGCAGACACATGCGCTCGCCTGCACCCCAGTGGCTGCACCAGCGCAGAGGGAGGTGCGGGGAGCGAGGGTTCATGACCTCCCATTCTTGCCAAGCCATGTGTCTCGGGGCAGCAGCGACCCTGGGGTCCAGGCCCTGCCCATGTGTCCTGAGCAGCAGCACAGGGACGGGGCGCACGAGGCTGGCAATGGACAGCCACCAGCCTGGATTCTCCTGAGCCTTCAGGTTGGGAGCCCCTGGGCATGTTCTCCACCCTGAACCAGGGGTGGCACAGGGAGCTGCCTGGGAGGGGTCAACTTCATGAGGTCCTCGTGTGGGTCACCAACTCTCCCTGAGGCTGGTACGTTTCCATCCACGTATTTTATTTTATTAAAGCCCTGTGGTTTGCAAAGTCACTTACAGTTGAGTTTTGGACATACAATACCGCAGTCCCAACCCCACCACCGGCGTCAGCTGCCCTCCACCAGGTGCCCAGGGTCCTTCCTGCCCACATCTAGCCCCCCTCAGCTCGTTCTCCTGACAGGCCCCTTTCTAAGTTCCACTGCTAGCGGTCGAGTGTCTAGATTTCAGTGTTGGTGACTCGGTGGTCTGGATATTAGGCCATCCTTCCTTAAGGCCACCTTTGTAGCTTCATCTCTTGACCTGGCTCCCGCTGCCTCTCCCCTCCCCTCCAGTCTTTATTTCCTTCTCCCTGAACTCGAGGCCAAGGGTGGTCATTGAAGGATAACATGAGTTTGTCCTTTCTCCCTGGCAGCAGGGAGCTCGGGTTTGTTGGATTGCACCCATTCACAGTGCTCCCGAGGCACTCCCTTCCTCTGTGTTTACCTTTAACTTCTCTGTGCTCTGCTTTCTCTACCCGTTAATCACCTATTTCCCCTAAGTAGTACCTGTGACTTGTAAAGTTAAATTCCTCAGAAACCTCTGGATTCGGATTTGTAAGGGAAATATTGCTTTTCTCCTTCCCTCATGTCCTTTTGCATAGTTTACTTCAGAGCAAAGTCCTTTTTGTTATAGACACAGGAAGACAGTTAATGCTGTGCTTGTGTAACTTGGAAATTAATTGACTCTAAATAATATTCACTCCTAGGCATCTGTTTTCTCTACTTAAGCCTCAGTTACCCTTAGTTCCTAGCACCCCAAAAGCAGGGTCCCGACGAGGGACTGGATGAACCCAGGGCAAGCTGTGAGCTACCCTGACACCGAAATGGGCCAAGCCAAGTGCCATAATACTTAACTATAAATTAAGAGCAGGGTCATGAACAAATTCTGTCATGATCCAAAGAGTAACAACTGGATTAGGACCCTGCTAGGGTTAGAAAAGACTAACTGGGCCCGCTCGAGCAAATCGATGAACAACGGGAGGACAGTGACAGTGACAGTGAACCTGGCCTGAGCACTGTAGTCTGGGATCTAGCGAGATGTCCCCAGGAGAGACAACCTACAAGCTTAAGATATCTCTGACTGTGTCCATACAAAGTGACTAGAAAGATTATTTAGAAGTAAATAAGTAAGTAAATCTAAGATGGTTGCTGGATTAAGGAAAGGAGAAACACACCCCTAGATGTTATTTGGCCCCTGAGCAGATTTCCTGGCTATAGGAGACTTTGTCTTGTCTTAGTGAGCTTCCCCGGAAGGAAGGGCTTTCGTATGTTGATTGTGCTACCTGACCTAGGTGTAGTTGCTACCTGCAATGCTTGGTGGTGGATGGTTAGACCTGGATGGTGAGACGGAGCACGTGGAGAGACTGGGATGGGGGACAGGCAGAAACAGGAGTGAGGGGCAGCGTGAGACCGGAACAGATGTGTGGGGAGAATGGAATGAATGGCGACTGCTCACCAACCAGCCTGGCAGCCCTGTTCTCTCCCTCATGCATCCGCTGGCAGCAGCCAAAGACTAGGATGGGGAAGCAGCTCTCGGCCACCGAACGCTCGTGGCAGGCAAGAGAGATCATGCTGCTGCCTCACCACTGCCGCTCTCTTATTTATTTTGTGATTACCCAGTCAGGGCATGGGAGAGCGCTCACTGTAGCCCACGGCGGCTCTTTATGGTACAGGGAGCCCTTAGACTCATCCCCAGGGAGCTGCCTCTGAGGAGCCAGAGACAGAGCCAAGGGCTGCAGCACCTGCCTGCCTGGGGCGACCCTGCTTTGATGCCAGCACCCTGGAGGGTCCCCTGAGCACTGCCTGGTGTGGCCCCCAAACAAAAGAGCAACAACAACTTTAAAAAACTGCTTCTGACCTCACCTGCATCATCCTCTGGAGAAGCCTCATGTCAGGTGACAGGTTCTACCTCTGGAAGCCCCCTGGAGCCCCCAGAGCTGCTGGGGCCAGAGGGGATGCCATGCGGGCCAAACACAAGTGGTGGTGCTGGGCAAAGGTCCTCCAGGAGCCCAGAGATATTCCTGGACCTCCAGGAGCCCAGAGGTCACCGACCTCCAGTGACTCAGGAGGACCAGGTCTGGGCTGCAGTTCTGGGGTATCCAGGTTCCCCCTGGCCTCCAGTCACGACCCACCCACGCTTGTGGACTCGCTTGCCACAAACACTTCACAGCAAGAGGAGTGACAAGCACATGGTATGCAAGTGTGACTAGACTCAGACAATCACTGCTCCAACTCAGTCATAAACACTCAGCTCGGAGTCCCTCAGGGGGCTTTGCTCAAAGGTGGCCAAGGTTCTTCTAGGATCCTCTCAGAGAAGCTCCTGGCTCAAAGCAATAGACTCAAATCACACCTATAAATAAAATACGTGTGTGCCGGGGGCCAGAGAGGACAGTGGGGAGGGCACTAGCCTTGCATGTAGCCAATGCAGTTCGATCCCCAGCATCCCAATGGTTTTCCCAAGCAGCACCCAGAGTGATCCCTGAGCACAGAGCCAGGAAAAACCCCTGAGCATCACCAGGCATGGGAAAAAGCAAGTATGTGTATATAAAGTATATGCATTTTATAGTATAAGGAATTAGATTTACATGATATAGATGACATATTATATAATATTTTATTATGCAATGATATAATTTTATATGTGTATATAAATATATATATATATATAGCACTGCACTGTCCTCCCATTGTTCATAAATTTGCTCAAGCGAGCCCAGTAACGTCTCCATTGTGAGACTTGTTACTGTATTTGGCATATCGAATACGTCACGGGGAGCTTACCAGGATTTGCCGTGTGGGCTGGATACTCTCAGTAGCTTGCTGGGCTCTATGAGAGGGTTGGAGGAATTGAACCTGGGTCGGCCGAGTCGGCCGTGTACAAGGCAAACACCCTACTGCTATGCTATCGCTCCAGCCCTTTTTTATATACTACTTTTTAAAAATAGATTTTTGATAGAGGTTCTGTGATTGACAGAGGATACTGTTATCGGTGGCTTTCCATGCACTTACTTCCAACACCATACAATCACCAGTGTACTCACCTCCCTCCAAGACCCGACTTTTCAACCTCCCACTAACTCAACTGTACGATCAGTTCTCCCATTACGCTGCCTTTGTTGCCACCTTGCTGTGCCTCTTTAGATCCACGATGAGTGAGGTCATTCCTTGCTATCCTTTTCTTTCTGATTTCACCCAGCATATCCTCCAGTGCTGGGGATCTTCTGAGCCATACTCAGCTGATCGAGACTGTGAAAAAGAGTCTCACACTTTTCTAAACGATTCTAATCCACAAAGGGGAAATCACACATTGTTCGTTCCAAAGGCCCGTGCAGCTGGAGGGGCCCCAGGTCATAAAAATGTTCTCAAATGAACAATGAGGCCAGCTGCCCCATTGGTGGACCTGAACTGTCCTGAGCAAGGCAAGAGTGAGCCGCAGCTTACGAAGCATTTTCTCGAGTAAAGTCACATTGTATAGAGACTGATTCTATTTTCATATTCTGCAAGTTGTATCTTAAACTTTTATATGTTACAATAATATGAAATATATCGCCATCTACAAATTATGTGGTCTTGGGCATTCATATTAAAGTTTTATATATCATTCGTAATATAGTACATAAACATATTTTATTTTAAAATTCATTTTTAGAATCTATTTAAATAAACACACATTGCAAAACTATTTTTATCATATGTGTTATATATTAATTATAGATTATAGATTTATCACATATTATATCACATAGGCACATATTATCTGATACAGGTTTGTTTTTAGTTGCAGGGTTCCAACCTCCTTCCCCAGGACTCCCACATAGACCATCCGGGGTGCCTAGCCCACCCACTCACCTCACACTGCCCCCCACCTGGCAGCTGGGCCCCCCAGGAACAGACAGCCCGACCAAACAGCAGCTCGACTGACCTGTAACAGCGTGTGCACAGCGTGGGTGACTGGGAACACACCCTCGGTGGCCGACAAACACTCCGAGAAGCCAACGAAGTAGCCGATCTTCAGGCACCCCAGGACGACGGTGATGGCTGCAAACAAGGTGATGCTGCCTGCAGGAGAGCAGGGGGTCACCAGCAGGCACCCATGCAGAACCCACAGTGCACTCTGGGGTCACGTGTGCACCTAGTCTGTTACACCCTCACGGCAGCCTGAGGACTGTGCCAAGGGCTCTGGGTCCATTACTCCCACGCATGGGCAGTGGGAGGATGCCAGGCACAGGACACAGCGTGAGTCTGCCCCCAACCTGCCATGCTAGAGAAGAGGAAATGGAAGAGTCAAAGAGGAAAGGCACATCCTGGGGAGGTATGATTCTCTGAAGAAATATAAGAAGAAGCCTCAGCGTTTCTTTACAAACACTGCATTTGGCAACATGGGATGACTCCAAAAGCATAAGCAACAAAAGGAAAAATAGATTATTTGGGATACATGAGAAAGGAAAAATAATGTGTGCATCAGAGGATCCTACCCATGCACATAATAAGGGAAAATATTTAAAATTACTTAAAGCACTAATAGAGCTGAACTATACAAAGGACAACTGAACAACAAAAGTGTCCAGTGAAGAAATGTGTGGGGTAGACAGAGAGATTAGAAGGGGTAAGGTGCTTGTCTTGCTTGCAGCTGACCACGACTTGCTCCCTGGTACCATATATGGTCCCTTGAGCACCTCCAGGAATGAGCCCAGAGCACACAGGAAGGAAAAGTCCCTGAGCACTGCCAGGGAGGGCCCAAACCCCATCCCCAAAAAAGAAACTGAGGGGGGGCATGGCTCAGCAGTGAAGTGCATGCCTGGCATGCAAAAGACCACAAAAAAAGCTAAAAATTTATTCTCTCTGTTTTAGTGCCACACTGAGCAGTGCTTAGGATTCACTCCTGGCTCTGCTCAAGAATCACTCCTGCAGGGCTCAGGGGACCATAAGGGGTGCCAGGATTAAACCCAGATTGGCCATGTGCAAAGCAAATGCCCTACCCACTGTACTCCCCAAAATACCCATTCTAGACCCAAAAATAAAATTTCAACTGACCAAAGAACTCGAAGAAACATTTCTCCAAAGAAGATAATCAAATAATGATTATCATATGAAGAGAGGCTCAAGGCCACTAATCAGGAGGGAAACAAACCACACACAAACATAAACCACAACCTTCAGGATGACAGCTGCGTGAAAGGGAAGGGCAGACAGAGGAGAAAGAGGAAGAGAGAGGAGGCCACATAAGAGGATGCAATTATGTAGCAGGGACGGGAGACTGGAAAACCCTACTGTTAGGGTTAGGGCCAGGCTAAGGCCAAGGCTAGGGTTAGTGTCAGGTTAAGGTTAGAGCTGGTTAGCTCCCTGCTGATGGCAACATCAAATCCAGCAGCCATCATAGGACACAGAATGAGATTTCCTCAGAAAAGCAGAAACTATAGACTGATCTCAGCCGAGACGCCAAGCTGATGAAACTCTCAGGTGTACCAACCTTTGGGTTGAAAACTCTGGGGCTTCAAAGAGTTAGGGTGGGGTGGTCTCCTACCACCATGCTGCTGGAAGCCCCACAGACACCCCCACACCGCAGCCTCCAGTACATAAACGTCCCAGCTTCACAACAGCTTTACGACCAATCTCAAGTGATGCCAAGTTGTAGGAAAATTCTATTTCTACAGCTTCTGGAGAACACAGCCATATATACAGCCAGCAACACCTCCAAATTCTGACAGCCCAGTAGGAGTACAGCAGATCACATGGCAAAGTAACATAGAAGCCAATTGCGTTCATTAAATTAAACCAGTAACACAGGCTCAACCAGCAACGAACTGCAGAAAATCCTCAAAGACTTTGATGACCCCATGTGAGACATGACGATTTTCACAAATTTTCTTTTACTGAACTATATTTTTATAATTTCATCTACCATTTTGCTGCAACAAGCAATAAGAAATAAATGATTTTGTTTCTGCTAAGGGGGCAGGCTTTGCGGTGGATGGGAAACTGGGACAATGGTGGAGGGAAGGTTCCATCGGTGGCAGGCCTGGTGCTGAAACACTGAATGGCCGAAACAACCATATTATGAACAACTCTGTCACCACATTGTTTAAATAAAGTTATAAAAAAGAGAAAAGAAAAGCAGACGCTATTCTTGCATACTCCTGCAATTCCATTTCTGGTGTGCCCCTTATAGAATTGAAAAACGGGGTGGGGGCCAGTGTAGGAGCAGTTTGTACACCCATGTTCAGGACATTATTTCCAACCACCAAATGGAAGCAAATCCGGTGCCTGTGATTAAAAGAACGAATGCACAAAATGTGGCTTCTCCCTGCCCTTGGATTTGTCTTTAGCTCTAGGAAGAAAGCACCTTTAAACCCCAAGCCCTTGCCAAGAAGAAGTGAACCCCAGGACAGGATACCGGATGCAGTCAGACACAAAAGGACCCATGTTCATGGTTCCACTTATGCAAAGTGCCAGAGTGGTCAAATTCAAGGACAAAAAGGAGAATGGCAGGGGAGGGGCTGCAGGGGACAGCCTGCAGCGGCAGCGGTGGATGCAGGGAGTGGGGCAGAGTTTTAGCGCTCTACATGAGAGCATTCCCGAGGCAGTTTGGTGTTGGTCAGACCACTGAGGCTCGATCTCATGTTGTGTCTAGTTTATTACAATTAAAAACATGGAGCTGGAGCGATAGTACATCAGGGAAGGTGTTTTCCTTGCACACGGCTGGCCTGGGTTCAATCTCCGGCATCCCATATGATCTCCCCGAGCACCACCAGGAGTAATTCCTGACTGCAAAGCCAGGAGTAACCCCCGAGCATCACAAGGTGTGACCCCCGAAACCAAAAAAATTTAAATTAAAAATAAAAATAAACCACAGGAGGGCCAAAGATATTGTACAGTGGGGAGGGTGCTTGTCTTGCACGCCTCCAACCTGCACCCCATAGAGTACCCTGAGCCCCACCAGGAGTAATCCCTGAGAACAGAGCCAGAATTAAGCCCTGATCTCTGTTGGGCATGGGCCCCCAATTAAAACTAAAATAAAGTTTAAATAAATCAATCAATCATACATTTCAAGACATATTAAAATATCTTATACACTACACCCTCTTATACAATATAAAATACTTTCTATTTCTTACCTGGTCAACAGTATTGACTACACAACATATAAACTGTTCTCTCTTGTACAGTCAATACTTCGGACCAAACAAGTGAAAGCTAGAAGGCAGCTTGTATATCCTCTCATCATTGTGCCCATCTGAGGGTCTGACAGATGATCCACCAAGTTGGGTTTGAATCAATTGAAGCTCTAAAAAAAACCTAATCACCTAAGATTGTTCTGTCATTGTTCTAACCCCAAACCCTCCTCTCTGGAGAGCAAAGTTTGGGTAGTCAATCTCAGAATTCCCTGCACGCTCCTAGATACCCACACATGCACATAGTTGCCTAAGTTGCATTTTTCTAATGACTGGGAGTCTACAGACGTGGCCATGAAAGGCCAGGCCCGGAGTCACGCAGAGGGGAAGAATTCCTGGAGAGGAAACATCCAGCATGGTTTTGGTAAAAAAATAAATAAATCCCCTAACCCCCCAAAAAAGGGAACAGAGTAAAAACACAGAAAAGGAATATAGACACGCATTAAGAAGTAGCGTGTGGCCGTGCATAATAATGATCACAGACACCTGATCCACATCAACGTTCCTAATTGCTCTTCCCAGACAGCAGTGACGACCATTCACACAGTCTCTCCTACCGGAGGAAACTGGATCATTTGTTGCGTGCATTAGCGAAGGAGAGAGAGAGGGGCGGGTGCCTGAACATGGGGCTATAACCTTACAGCCCTGGCCTAAGCAGCCTCCAGTGAAAAGTAATGCAACCGCCTGGCTCCCTTCCACTGCTCACAGCCTCATGGAAACAACTCTAAGTCACCTTTTTGGGGGGTGTGGGGGGTGCTGGGAAAATGCCAGTGAATTCAGAGACTTTATAAGAGTGGAGATTTGATCCCAGTGCTTTGAAATGACTTGACAAATGCATGGATCATTTTAATTACAAAGAGAAACAGCAAGGACAGGTGGGACAGCTGGTTAGGGTGGCAGAGAACACAGGGTGGGGCTGCAGAGACCTGGATTTGAGATCTGGCTGGACTACTGACCACCAGACTAAATGTCTGGGTTGGGACAAGTCACTTTCCTGCCCCTTGCCTCAGCTTGTCCATCTATAAAGTGAGGCTGGTCTTGGTGATGATCCTCAGTCTTGTGTGCACATCAGAATTGTCTAGAGGGCTTGGGGGAAAACAATTTGCTAGACTCTGCAGCCCCAGAGTTTCTGATTCAATAGGTCTATGGTGGGAACCCCAAATCTGCATCTATAACAAGTTCCTGGATGGGGCTGATAGTCTGGAACCCACTTTGAAAAAACATCTATTATGTCTTTCACATTTCAAGTTATGACAAATACCTCATATTCCTTCTCATATTCCTGAGGTCCCTTCTTCCCCACCCATCAATCCATCCACTCATTCATCTATTTCTCCACTCATCTACCAACACTTCCATTCATTAACCCACCGACCCAACCATTCATTTCCTCCATCCATATACACATTTATCATCTGTCATGTACCCATTCACTGCCTCATCCATTAACCCAGTGATCCACTCATTTACCCATCCTCGTATTCATCCATTCATACACCCACCTATCCACACACCCATCCACCCATCCATCCGTCCACCCATCTACCTGTCCATCATCTATCCATCTATCCATCCATGCATGCACCTGTGCATCTATCCATCCACCCATCCACCCATACACTCGGCTTCAATCCCTGACACCCCACATGATCAGCCTGAGCCAGCCATGAATGGTCCGTGGGCACAGAGTCAGGAATAAGTCCCTCGTACAGTTAGGTGCTGCTAATAAACAATAATAAAATGAACAACCAAAAATAATCATCTCAACAGCTGTTTTTTGAAGACAAGATATGATTCAAGCAACTCATTTAAAAAAGGCAATAAAATACCTTCCCTTGGGGAGAAAAATTCATTAATCAGAATAAAGTCAATACCAGAAAGTATTAA